TAGTGGTTAAGTGCGCGGGCTCTAATCTGGGAGAACCGGGTTTGATTCCCCACTCCTCCACTTGCACCTGGCTGGGTGACCTTGGGCAAACCCTAGTTCTGTCAGAGCTGTTCTTGAAAAAGAGCCGTTTCTGTCAGAGCTCTCTCAGTCCCACCTACCTCCCAGGGTGCCTGTTGTGGGGAGGGGAAGGGAAAGGGATTGCAAGCTGCTCTGAGACTCCAAGTGAAGGGCGGGGTATAAATCCAATCTCCTCCTCCTCTTCCTTCTAAGTCATTAAATACATAATAATATGTGTTTTCCATTTCCTCCTTGTTATATTTTCAGGCTTTCTGTTCTTTATGCCCTCTGGTGTTCTCAGATACATGCAAAAAGAGGGTGTTCCCCCTCCACCTTTTATGCAGTATTTAATTTGTTAACTTACAAAATTGGTATCTCACTTTTCTGCCCTTAGAAGGGCTACCAAGGAGGCTAACAATTCAAATCACGCATGACGCGTGGGGGTGGGAAGGGCCGTCTGGTCACAGCCAACTTAACGGCAACCCCACAAAGTTTTCAAGGGAAGAGACATTCAGAGGTGGTTTGCCATGGCCTGCCTCTGTGGTCTCCCATCCAAGTACTAACCGGGGCCGACCCTGCTTAGCTTCTGAGATCTGACGAGATCGGGCCAGACTGGCCCATCCAAGTCGGGGCACCTCTATGATAAAAACACCTATATATTTTACTGCTCCTCTTTGCTCTCTAACATTCTTTTCATTGATTTGAACCCTGGTCCCTGTCAGGAGCTGCGGTGGCTCAAGTGGTTAAGACGCTGAACTGCAGGCTGTGGAAGGTCAGTAGTTCAGCAGTTCGAGACCCGAGTGTGCCGTATGACGGAGTGAGCTCCCCTCTCTAGTTCCAGCTCCTGCCAACCCAGCAGTTCGAAAGCAATAAATTGCAAGCAGATAAATAGGTACCACTTTGGTGGGAAGGTAACAGCATTCTGTGTGCCTTGGTATTTAGTCATGCCGGCCACACGACCACGGAAATGTCTTCGGACAGCGCTGGCTCTTCGGCTTGGAAACGGAGATGAGCACCGCAACCCTAGAGTCGGACTCGACTAGCTTTCGAGCAAGGGAACCTTTACCTTTACCCTGTCGGGTACTGCTTTGGAGACTTTAGCAAGTGGGAAAGCATCTTGTGCACTTTTACGTACAGGACACATTTCCCCCCTTACCTTCCTCCTCACTCCTATCCCCCTCCAAGTTCTTTTCTGTTTTTAAAATCTCTGACCGCCTGTTGTCGTGTTTCAGCCACCTGAACCTCTCAGCCATGCAGGAGGCAGCGGCGTTCCTGGCAGGCACCCACGACTTCAGCACCTTCCGCTCGGCCAGCAACGAGCAACCCGTGAGAAGCCCTGTCCGGACCCTGACGCGGGCGGAAGTCAGACCCTCCTCCGGTTTCCTCTTGCATCACAGCCAGGACAGGTGAGAACCGTTGGCGCGCTCGACATCCCGCACGCCGGTCTGCGACCTGCATGTTCCCTCCAGATCACACGGCACGCTTTTCCTCCGCGTGGCCGATGGGGCGGCTCCGCTTGGCTCGGTTTCGGTAAATCGTAGGGATGCGTGAGAAGCTCAGCTGTTGTCCTCCCGTTCACCCTGCCTGGAGGCATTACTTTTTTTATATAGGTCAGCGAAAACAAAATAGGATAAAGCTCGGCTTTATCCCGTCGTTTTGCTTGACTATCTTTTTTGTGTGTGTGTGGCTTTGCTTTGCAGCCACCACAAAAGAGTATAGCTTCTCGCTAATGGCACGTCCAGCCTGTGTTGTCATGATGCCTCTTAATCTCATTTGGGTTGATTAGGTGTTGCGTAATAAATTTGGTATGTGTAGCTGTCCCTTTCGCAACGAAAGAGCAGGGGCTGTCGGGCCCAGTGTTCCCTCTAAGCTGAGTTAGTGTGAGCCAGCTCACCGTTTTTTAGCGTCCAGCTCATGCATTTCTGCCTTCACTCAGGAAGGAGGGCTCCAGAGCAAACCGATTTATGCCGCAGCCAAATGGCTCGCTCACAACTTTAACGCCAGTCGCTCACAAAGTAGAATTTTTGCTCACAAGACCCCACAGCTTAGAGGGAGCATTGGTCAGGCCGTAGATCCGGGTGGCCAGTCGTGTTGGTCTGAAGCAGTAGAACAGATTTAGAGTCCAGGGGCACTTTTAAGACCAACAAAGGTTTATTCAGGGTATGAGCTTTCGTCTGCAAAACACACGTCTTCAAATACAATGGAATGGGAGGTAAGGCTCAAACTTATAGCTGGGCTGAACAGCAAAATTAGAGGGTGTTTGAAGATATGCGAGAACAGAACTACACCACAAACTAAGGTGACAAGGTCAACAACAGTTGTAAAGCAATAAATACGTTGAAAGAAGTCTGAGACCCTCCATTCACTCGGGCCGCAGTGGCTGTCATTGGGTGGGGTGGCATTTCAGCACCACGGACAGGTCCTCCGTCTCTCCCTCGGGGCTCCTGTTCCCAGACGTGGCCTTCCTTCTTCCTCTCCTCCCCTCTCCCCTTTTAGCTCCTTCATCCTTGCCTAAGAAGAGACCGATCATCCTTGCAAGGCTCAATCCCAGTAACGAAATTAAATACCGTCAAATATTTAGGGAGCGCTTCTCGTTCGTGCCCCTGTGCGCTGTGAGTTCCTTTCCCTTTCCCTTTCGGACCGGCCCCGTTCCTTTCTAGTTTAAAGGGCCCCTGTGAGTTCCTTTCCCTTTCCCTTTTGGACCGGCCCCGTTCCTTTCTAGTTTAAATCAACCCCCTCTTCTCTTTCTGGCTTCCTCTCCCGGAAAATAACCCCAGGTTCTGAGTTTGGCTCTTCTGGCTTTGCATTTCAAAGTCAAATTCAACCTTTTCTGTGGAGCTGAGAAGTTGCCAGCTCCTCCGAGCAGATTCTCGGGCGCCTGAGTCTTGTTGCGGAGAAACAAGTTGTGTTTGGGGGCCAGAACTGGCATCCGATGCTTTGCGGAGGATTTTTCTTTCCTCGCAAGTCGTGACGGGGAAATCTGGAAAGTCAGGAGGAGCCCTTGGGGGTCTTAGGGTTCGATCCGAAGGCAAACGACGCAGCTCTGCTGCTCAAGCTAAGCATGGTCAGGATCAGTGTTCCCTCTAATCTGAGTTAGTGTGAGCTAGCTCACAGTTTTTTAGCCTCCGGCTTTACACATTTTTGTCTCAGGAAGGATGGCTCCAGGGCAAACCAATTTATGCAGTAGCCGAATCGCTCACTCACAACTTTAATGCTCACAAAGTAGAATTCTTGGTCACAGGACTCCGCAGCTTAGCGGGAGCATTGGTCAGGATGTGAGACCTCTGGGAGCCTGATGGGTACAGCCCTGGTGGACACACAGTGGCCAGCCAGTTCCTCTGGAGGGCCAACAACAGGGCAGAGAGGCCAAGGCCTTCATTAGAACATCAGAAGAGCCCTGCTGGATCAAACCAGTGGTCCATGTAGCTCAGCATCCTGTCTCACACAGTGGCCAGCCAGTTCCTCTGGAGGGCCAACAACAGGGCAGAGAGGCCAAGGCCTTCATTAGAACATCAGAAGAGCCCTGCTGGATCAAACCAGTGGTCCATCTAGTCCCGCATCCGGTCTCACACAGTGGCCAACCAGTTCCTCTGGAGGTTCAACAACAAGGCAGAGAGCCCAAGGCCTTCATTAGAACATCAGAAGAGCCCTGCTGGATCAGACCAGAGGTCCATCTAGTCCAGCATCCTGTCTCACACAGTGGCCAAGCAGTTCCTCTGGAGGGCCAACAACAGGGCAGAGAGGCTGAGGCCTTCATTAGAACATCAGAAGAGCCCTGCTGGATTAGACCATCAGTGGTCCATCTAGTCCAGCATCCTGTCTCACACAGTGGCCAAGCAGTTCCTCTGGAGGGCCAACAACAGGGCAGAGAGGCCAAGGCCTTCATTAGAACATCAGAAGAGCCCTGCTGGATTAGACCAGTGGTCCATCTAGTCCGACTCTAGGGTTGCGGTGCTCATCTCCGTTTTAAAGCCGAAGAGCCTGCACTGTCCGAAGACGTTTCCGTGGTCATGTGGCCGGCATGACTAAACACCAAGGCGCACGGAACGCTGTTAAAGTCGGATTCGACTGGCTTTCGAGCAAGGGAACCTTTACTTTACTTTTTACCATCTAGTCCAGCATCCTGTCTCACACAGTGGCCAACCAGCTCCTCTGGAGGGCCAACAACAGGGCATAGAGGCCGAGGCCTTCCCCAAAAATAACACAGAAGAGCCAAGCCAGATCAGGCCAGTAGTACATCTAGTCCAGCATCTTGTCTCACACCGTGGGCAGCCAGTTCCTCTAGAGGGCCAACAACAGGGCATAGAGGCCGAGGCCTTCATAAGAACTTCAGAAGAGCCCTGCTGGATTAGGCCGGTGGTCCACCTAGTCCAGCATCCCGTCTCACACAGTGGCCAACCACTTCCTCTGGAGGGCCAACAACAGGGCAGAGAGGCCGAGGCCTTCCCCTGATGCTGCCACCTGGCACCAGGATTCAGAGGTTGACTGCCTCTGAATGTGGAGGTTCCCCTCAGTCACCATGGCGAGTAGCCGTCTCACTGAGAGACAGGCTTTATCCTTGCCTTGAAACGTCCCTTTGGCCCGCCTCATCCATCATTCCGAAGGAGAATGGATGCCGTCTCCTTCAGAATATTTGATTTTTTTTTACGAAATGTATGTGTATGTATATATATGTTGCATTTTCAAGATTTTGACCATCTGAAGCGGGGTAGGGTGGGGGGATGGAGGAGGAAAGCACTCTTCTTGTTTGGAAACCCACACGATTCCTGTTGTTTCGTTTTCTCTTGCCCGCTTGGGGCTGCCAGGCTGTGGGAGGTGCACCAGCTGTTGACAAGAGTGATGAGTTTTCATGTGATCAGAAAGGGGAATTGGGTTCGGGGGCTGTGATGTCACGGGGGGGGACTCGTGGGAGACTCTGGAGCTGGGCCATGGGTGGGGGGGTTGGAGATTGCTAAGCAGCCGACAGATTGTGTTGGTTACATTTAGAAGAAGAAGAAGAAGAGAAGAAGAGTTGGCTTTGAGACACCGCTTTTCGCTACCCGAAGGAGTCTCAGAGCGGCTCACAATCTCCTTTCCCTTCCCTTCCCCACAGCAGACACCCTGCGAGGCGGGTGGGGCTGAGAGAGTTCTCTCGAGGACTGCTCTTGGGAGAACAGTTCTGAATGAACTTGTGACTGATCCAAGGTCACCCAGCCGGCTGGACGTGGAGGAGCGGGGAAATCAAACCCGGTTCCCCCAGGTTAGAGTCCACCGCTCTTAACCACTACACCAAACTCTTAGCCACTATACCAGTCATTTCAATCATTAAAAGCCACTTTAGCAAAAAAATAAAATGCCAGTGACTCTTTGCTCACATGTGTTGTATTGGTCAAGGTCCCTGAGAGAAGAATCTGAGGAAGGGAGCAGAGGAGGTCTAGAGTTCGAATTCTGCTTCAAACAGGTGGTGGTGGGGTACTGGGGCAAACAGCTCTGCCTTTCAGAGCTCCCTTTCCACACCGAAATTCTGAGAATAACAATCATAATAACAGTGGGCTAGAGCAGGGTCCCCCCAACCTTCTTGAGCCTGCAGGCGCCTTTGGAGTTCTGATGCCGCACGGCGGGCGCAACCACAAAATGGCTGCCACAGAATGGATGCTGCACGAGGCGGAGCCAGACGCAAAACAACTGGCGCAGCGTCCCTTCAGTCACCCCGTGACGATCCTTGTGCTGCGTGGTGGCAGCTGCCGCCAAAGCAAAGCGACGTTAAAAAAAAAATAATAAAACCTGCACAGCCCATCAGCTCTCCGGTGACCAATCAGAAGCCTTGCTTGAGAAAAGCCCGTCTTGGTCCTGCCCACTTTCTAGAAATACCTGGCGGGCAACGTGAAAGGGGTCGTTGGGAGCCCTGGTGTACACATGCGCCACCTTGTGGACCTCCGGAATGGAGAATGAACACGCGTAGGGTTCTAGTGGATACCCCATCCGTACCAACGGGGTCTCCTCTGACTGGTAGAATCTCTTAAGGGTCCCAAGGAGGGAAAGGTCTTTCCCAACACCTACCTCCTAAGTCCTCTCTTTAATCCTCCCGAGCGAATGGCCATCAAAATATCTTGTGGCAGTGAGTTCCATAAGGTCATAATGTGTCACGTTTCCTCTACCTTTTACCTCCTCGATCCTGCCGCAGTGTGTAAGCGGGCTACTTCTCTCTACTTGTTAAGAATTGCTCCTTCTGAGCGTATTTTTCAAATGTGCTGAGGTTGGCTTTTCAGCTAGTCTGCCGTAGTCTGCTGCGTGGGGCGATGCATTCTACAAAATCCATCGGGGACGGCTGGTGATGAATAGTATCCCCGCACACACACAAAATCACATGTTAGGTATTAAGGACCTGTTTTTTCCAGCCTGCTTGCTCTCAGTGGTATTTGATTTTGGGCTGGTTGGTTCTGCTTGGGGAGGGGGGGAGGGATGTGGTATTGGAGCAGGAGGCAAGTAGCTAGATATCGATTTGAGGGAGCGAATCAGAAGCAGAAAGTCTAGAAACCATCATGTCTTCGAATCATTCCTGTATTCCAGAATCTGGAACTTGTCTTAAGAATTGTATATCCTGGCTTTCTGGGGGTTTTCCCCCCCCAACTGCTATTTTTAAAGCTGCCAGTCCTCAAGAGGGTTTTCAAAACCCTTCGCTCCTTCCCACCCAACCCTGCGAGGTCCTGAAAGAATGCAACTGGCCCAAGGTCACTTAGCTGCAGAGGCAAGTGAGGATTCGAACTCTGGTCTCCGAGTCGCACGCTCTGATAACTGTACTGCACTTCAGGTTGGTTTTGTTTTGAAGGAGGGGCGCGGCTAACAGGAGGCAGGGGCTTGGTGCTGATTGTGTGTGGTCCAAAGGAAGAAGAGTGAAGCGTCCACATTGCAAGCTTTAATTGGTAGGTGTGAGCCGGCATGGTGTAGTGGTTAGAGCGTCTGACAGGTTCGAATCCCCACTCTTCCGTGGAAGCTTGCAAGGTGACCTTGCGCCAGTATCCGTCTCCCTCCTCTCCTGAGCAAAGTGCCCGCTTCCCCCTTCCGTAAAACAATGTTCTTTTGAGGGTCTACAGAGCCCGGTCCCTTAAGTCTGATCCATCAAGGTTAGGAATGGAACCTCCAGCTATGGAGGCAATATACCTCTGACACGTCTTTACCTCTGAGATTCCTGTCCTCTGAATGGGAGCCTATGAAATTCCCTGCTGGATCAGACCGTGAGCTCTTCCTGAGAGCCAGTTTGGTGCGGTGGTTCAGAGCGCGGACTCTAATCTGGGAGAGCCGGGTTCGATTCCCCACTCCTCCACATACAGCTGCTGGTGTGACCTTGGGCTAGTCACAAGTTCTCTCGGAGCTGTTCTCTTTGAGGGAGGGGATCAAGTAATGGAGACAGCTGGCCTGTCCCTCGTGTCTAAGAGCTGTTCTCTCAAGGGCAGTCCTCAAAAGAGTTCTCTCAGCCCCGCCTACCTCACAGGGTGTCTGTTGTGGGGAGGGGAAGGGAAAGGAGTTTGTAAGCCACTTTGAGACTCTTTTGGGTAGTGAAGGGTGGGGTATACATCCAATCTCTTCTTCCAGTCCGGTGTGCTAAGTGTGGCCAGAAAAATGTTTCTGGGAAGCCCTCCAGGAGGGCATAAAGACCTTCTCCATGGAGCTCGTCTGCAGAGATGCACTGCCTCTGAATCTGGAGGTTCCATTCCTCACCTTTACGGATCAGACCTGAGGGAGGAGGCCCTGTGGGTCCTCGAAAGGACATCACTTTCCTTTGCTGATCTGAAGCTCGCGTGTGTACTGGGCAGCTCTTATCTCTCCTCACTGTGGTTTTAACACTGCTCTTCTTTCTCTCTCCTTCCAGAGAGCTGAGGTTTTGGGAGCTGGAATTCCAAGGCCGGTCATTTCTCTACAAGCAGGTACTGTGCAAGATGACATCACAAAGTCTCTTTTTCGGCTCTTTCTTCCTGATCGCTCCCCCCCCACACACACACAGTTCATTCTGCCTCTGCTTGAGCCAAGGGGAGCTTCAGAACTGCTTCCTTTGGGGGGGGAGACTTCCGGTGTCTTTGCAGTCCCCACTTTATTGGGAAATGTACAGGTTGAGCAGGGGGTTCAGGGGTGCCCGGAGTCAGCCCACGGGCAGGGTGTGCTAGGGCCGCAGCCGTCGTCGTCACCCTTCCGTAGTAAAAGCTGGCTCCTGATCGGTCCCTATAAAGTCAACAGAAGCCAACTGGGGCATAAATTGTTAGAGTAGATCACAGTCAGAGGATGTGCTTTGACAATACTGAAATACACCCACATTAAATAAAGCCAGTAGGTAGACAGAAAATTAGCAAACTAACTAGTAATAATGTGGCGAGTTCAGGGCAGGCACCCTTGGGAGCCAGTGCGGTGCAGTAGTTAGAGCGTCTGACTAGGACCTGGGAGACCCAGGTTCGAATCCCCTGTCTGCCATGAAAGCTTGCTATCTCTAATTTGGGAGAACCAGGTTTGAGTCCCCACTCCTTCACATGCAGCTGCTGGTGTGACCTTGGGTCAGTCACAAGTTCTCTCAGAGCTGTTCTCTCAAGGGCAGCTCTGGAAAGAGCTCTCTCAGCCCCGCCTACCTCACTGGGTGTCTGTTGTGAGGAGGGGAAGGGAAAGGAGATTGTAAGCGGCTCTTAGACTCCTTCGGGTAGTGAAGGGCAGGGGGTATAAATCCAGCCTCCTCTTCTTCTTGCTGGGTGACCTTGGGGCAATCACATACTCTCTCAGTTGTCGTAAGGCTAAATCAGAGGCTAAGAGAACCATGTAAGGATCTTTGGGACCCCATTAGGGAGAAAGGCAGGGTAGAGACGAACTAATTAAAAGGCAGCAAGGTGGGAGATGGGCAGATCTGTGCTACCGTGGGCCACGATCCGTCTGGGAGCTTCTCCTGCACAAGACACACTGGACGGACTCCCACGGGGGAAGAAGTGTGTCCATGCTGCACATGCACACACACGGGTTTCTGCAGAGGTCCTTCAGTGCTCCTTCTCATTCCAGTGAAGCATGTGTGGGAGAACGGCTGAAACGTTGCCCCAAAGCATCACTGCTTAGCTGTACAGTGCCCTCTGGTGGTGAAGACTGGAAGAGCCACGTCTGTTACCATTCTTAACAAACCTCGATTAACGTTATCGGGCCGACCTGCGGCTCGAGGCACTCAGCCCTCCCCATAGTAAAAAGGCTTAAGAAGAAAAAACCATAAACAAGTCATCTAAAAACATCATTACAAAAGGCATCGCCTAAAACTTGTCCAATACCCCCACCCCCAAACTCCGCGATACAGGGTCGCAGCTGGTGGTCATTTGTTGCGGCCAAGAAGCGAGTGTGAAACCAGTTTGGTTTTAGCCCAGAAGTACTAATAAGGACTGTGTTAAGTTTGCAAACCTGGGGGTGGGGATAAATGCCATTTTCATCTTGCTCTGGGGTGGGGTGACCAGTTTGAACCCTGGTTCGAAACCACGCTGTTCTACTACGGAGCCCCTTCTCTGCATTTCTTTTTTCAAGTCCGTAGCAGGTAGCTCTTTATTTCTCCCCAACGGAGACCCAGAGCAACTTATATCATTCTCCTCTCCTTCTTGTTATCCTCACAGCAACCCTGTGAGGTAGGTTAGGCTGAAGAGCATGTGACCGGCCCAAGGTCACCCAGCAGGCCTCCAAGCCAGAGTGGGGATTTGAACCTGGGTATCTCAGATCCAAGTCCAATATTTTAACAACTACCCCATACTGGCTCTCTATCACTTGCAATAGCAGTGGAGGAAACCGGCACCAATTATGTTTCTCCTGTTATAAGTCTTGTTGAAGGGACAGGATATCAATGCAGTCCGAACGACTGATTTGGGGTCAAGTTAGGCACCCATGACAGCCCCACAGTGGTGTGGAAGGGAGAGGGGAGGACTAGAAGGAGGCAGGAATGTGGGAGGAAGGGGAAAGGACAAGTCAGCTGGGGGGGGGGGGTCATTCACCTTCCCGTGAACCAGCGTTCTGTCATAATGAAGGATGCTGTGAACACCCTTAGCTGCATTTGATAAATTCACGGAGAAGAAATCTAATCAGTCCAGCTGAATGGAGCCTCCATGGTCAGAGGCAGTATACCTCCGAGTATCACCGAGGGAGGCAGAAAAGGGGGAAGGGCAGTCGCCTTCACACCCTGCTCGTGGGCTTCTTGATTTAGTAGGATGCTGGGCTACAGGGATGTCCAGTCCGATCGAGCAGGAAGCTGCTAGGGTTCTCATGTTGCCATCGAAACTGCCTTCTTGGGGGGTGGGGTGTCACACCCTTAGTCCCTCTCGCTTCGACTAGTAGCCGCTCTCCAAGGTCTCGGGCACGGGTCTCTTTGAAGTCTGCCGTCTGAATACGGTCTGTCTGTCTTAGCAGAGCAACATATTAGGAGGAGGATAAGTCTATCAGTGGCTATTAGCCATGGTGGCTGAGGGGAACCTCCACATTCAGAGGCACCGAACCTCTGAATCCCAGAGCCAAGAGTAAGGCCTCAGCCTCTCTGCCCTGTTTTTGGTTCTCCAGAGGAACTGGCGGACCACAGTGTGAGACAGGATGCGGGACTAGATGGACCGCTGGTCTGATCCAGCAGGGCTTTTCTTATGTTCTTAGGAAGGCCTCGGCCTCTCTGCCCTTTTGCTGGCCCTCCAGAGGAACTGGCTGGCCACTGTGTGAGATGGGATGCTGGACTGATGGTCTGATCCAGTAGGGCTCTTCTGTGTTATTACTGGGGAAGGCCTCGGCCTCTCTGCCCTGTTGTTGGCCCTCCAGAGGAACTGTTTGGCCTCTCTGTGAGACAGGATGCTGGACTAGACGGACCATTGGTCTGATCCAGCTGGGCTCTTCTGATGTTCTTACAAAGGCCTCGGCCTCTCTGCCCTGTTGTTAGCTATCCAGAGAAACTGGCTGGCCACTGTGTGAGACAGGATGCTGGACTGATGCAGCTGGGCTCTTCTGATGTCCTGAAACACCCCAGCGAGTGTGTTGTATTTCCCCGGAGTGTAACTGAACTTGGGTGACTTGGTGGGGGGGGGGGCCCTGCATTCCTCCCCCGCTTTGTTCCAGGTTGACATTTTGCCTGTCACGAGGGGATGTGGTTGGTGGGTGTTTTGGTTAGGGCACTTTCACTTGCACACCACCCTCCGTCTTCCTGTCCCCCCCAGAAACAGCACCCAAACTGGTTGCATAATGGAGCTTGCAAGCCCTCCCCGCCGGCTTTCCTCGCTTGCAGAAATCTCTCGCTGGCGGGAGGAGGTGGGCGGCAGCACAGTTTCGGCTGCCGTCGTTCGGCTTCAGGTCACGATCCACCCACGAGAGCCTCACACCTGCCGGAGCTGCGTTTCCCCCAGCAGGTTGAGTCGGCGGGCGAGGAGGGGGTCACGACTCGTGGCGAACGGAAAGACGGTGAAGAAAGTTTCCTTCGATGAAACTGACAGGCGGCCGCCGTCTGGGTGGGCGGGAGGTGTCTCTGCTCACGGGCCCTGGAACGTTTTTTATTGCGTTTCGAAGCTGATGTAATTGACTCGCTGGGTCTGATCCAAAAATCCACGTGGCCCAGCTCCCAGCATCCAGCCTGGCTCAGCCAGAAACCTCTCGGAAGCCCACCAGCAGGGCAAGAGGGTTATCCCTTGGGGTTCTTTGCGGGTGACATTCAGAACTGTGAGACCCAGGTTCGAATCCCTACTCTGCCATGAGAGCTTGCTGCCAATCACGTGCTTTCAGCCTAACCCACCTCACAGGGTTGTTGTGAGGATAAAAATGGAGAAGCACGTCATCAGCTGCTTCGGAGGGCCAGTGTTGGTGTCGTGATTAGGAGCGTGGACTCTTATCTGGGAGGACCGGGTTTGATTCCCCACTCCTCCACATGCAGCTGCTGGTGTGACCTTGGGTCAGTCACAAGTCCTCTCACAGCTGTTCTCTCAAGGGCAGTCCTCGAAAAAGCTCTCTTAGTCCCAACTGCCTCACAGGGTGTCTGCTGTGGGGAAGGGAAAGGAGATTGTAAGGTGCTCTGAGACTCCTTCGGGTAGTGAAGGGCGGGGTATACATCCAGTCTCCTCCTGCATATTGTACTCCAGTGAGGATCCAGTAGTTTATCTCTTATTACCTCCTATTTGGCCTTGGGACAGCCAACCACAAGATCATAGATATGTCTGTGGGCAGTCTGGAACATGCAGAAATTTAGATCCCACGTTGGGTCCCGAGGTACTTGGGAGCAGTGTTCCCTCTAAACTGAGTCAGTGTGAGCTAGCTCACAGTTTCTTAGCCTCCGGCTCACACATTTTTGTCTCGGCTCAGGAAGGAGGGCTCCAGAGCAAACTAATTCCTGCAGCAGCCAAATCACTCACTCACGACTTTCATGCCAGTAGCTCACAAAGTAGAATTTTTGCTCACAAGACTCCACAGCTTAGAGGGAACATTGCTTGGGAGGAAGGTGACGGACGTCTTCTAACTCAGAAGGCTTTGGGGATGGAGGCGTCTTAGCTGTTAGGGGTGGGATTCAGCCTCTGGCAAACTCGAGTCCAAAGCAGCTGTGGCAGAGCGAGTTAAGAAGAGACTGGGTCGATACCCCGCCCTTCACTCAGAGCGGCTTACAATCTCCTTCCCCTCCCCCTCCCCACAACAGACACCCTGTGAGAGCTCTTTCGAGAACTGCCCTTGAGAGAACAGCTCTGAGAGAGCTTGTGACCGACGTAAGGTCACGCCAGCAGCTGCTTGTGGAGCAGCAGGGAATCAAACCCAGATCTCCCACTACACCAAACTGGCTCTCTAGGCAGAGCTCATTAGCTGGCTGGCCCTGTAAGAGGCACGTAGGATCCCTGCGGGGCTTGTGACCGGTGCTTCAAGCAGGGACGTTGAGCTTGGACTCTGACATTCTCGTCTTGTATTGGCCAGCATCCACTCTCTGCCACAAAGCCTGCAGGTTGAGTGGCATTACTTACAGCTGGTCGATTTTTAGTCACACACACCCTGTTTTATTCTAGGTGCGGCGGATGGCCGGCGTGCTGGTGGCCGTGGGGCAGAACCGACTGCAGCCCCACCACGTGAAGAGTCTCCTGGAGGCCAGGGACCTGATGGCTTATCCCCTGAACACCATCGCGCCAGCCCAGGGGCTCTTTCTCAAGGAGGTGGAGTACTGCGAAGATGGTGAGTGACCCCCCTCCCTTTCTCATCAGCGCTTTGGGGGCTTCCTGCTTTCGGCTGTTCCACTCCAAGCCGTGAACACCGGCTGCCAGGTAAACCTCCGGGAGCCGTAAACAGAGGACCTGCAGAAGCATGGCTTTGTGCCCATCTCCTCCTCTCTTGGGGTGGGCACAGCACTCAGCAGTTGAAGGACCTGGTAATGGAAGGACTCTGCCAGGCAGAGGGCTCTTTAACCCGTTCTCGGGGCAGCAATGAGAGCCAGTTTGGTGTAGTGGTTAAGAGCACAAATTCTAATCCGGGAGGACCGGGTTTGATTCCCCACTCCACCACATGCAGCCAGCTGGGTGACCTTGGGGCAGTCACAAGTTCTCTCAGAGCTGTTCTCTCAAGGGCAGTTCTCGAGAGAGCTCTCTCAGCCTCGCCTACCTCATAGGGTGTCTGCTGTGGGGAGGGGAAGGAGATTGTAAGCCCCTCTGAGACTCCTTCGGGCAGTGGAGGGCGGGATATAAATCCAATCTCCTCTTCTTATTGTTATTTACCTCTCTTGTTTTTGCAGATTTGGAGACAGGAACGACAGAGGTAGAATTACAGTCCGGTTGTATGGACCACGAACCCGTGGAAGAACACTAGTGCCATTTCGGGGGGGTAGTCTAGGAGTGCACCCTGTTTGCCCCTTAGGCATGTCAGTCCCCCCCCCCCCATCTGCAGGTCATTGCCGATACAGACATGAGCATCTCTCTGCAAAACAAGCCAGCGCTGCCTGGAGGAAAACGCAGCCCTAAAATGAGGGGAAAACGAGACTGAAACTCAAGCCGTAAGCCTGGGTTGTCTACTTTGCGGCCGTCCGACAGAATTTGCGCTGCTGGGCAGAACGCATTGCACTTGGGATTTTGAGATTGATTTTGTACGAAGCGAGCACCTAGTCCTTCTCGGGGCAGCGATGGGTTTGGGGAGATATGGGGTGCAGAACAGGTCCTGGAAGAGCACAGCTCCTGGCTGACTCCCTGGGATGGCTGAGCAGCTGCTCTCGCACAGCGGCAAAGGGGGTGAGCTGAGAAGCGGGAGACCCCCGGACGGATTCTCGCCTCTGCACCCTGCTCCCAAGCCGGCCTCGGGCAAACCGCTCCTGTGTCACAGCCGCCGCAGAACTGGGCTATCTTGTCAGGTTGTTGTTATTGTTGCTGCGGGGAGCTTCCCGAAATGGTGCACACTGACTGCTCCGAATCGTCTGAAGTGCTAGTTGAACGCTAAAGGTTATTTAAAAAGAACTGGCACAAAGTAAGAGAGTGGTGCGTCTTGCCAAAAATAAAAAGTGCTTTTAAGTTTTTGCCGTCCTTTTCACACGGACTCCCTTGCTTGTGTCGGTGCAGAGGATTTCAGTTCCAAGCAGAATTGCTCCAGTTTGGTGTAGTGGTTAGGGGCGCGGACTCTAATCTGGGAGAACCGGGTCTGATTCCCCGCTCCTCCACATGCAGCTGCTGGTGTGATCTCGGGTCAGTCACAAGTTCTCCCAGAGCTGTTCTCTCACAAGCAGTCCCCGAGAGAGCTCTCTCAGCACCACCTGCCTCACAGGGTGTCTGTTGTGGGGAGGGGAAGGGAAAGGAGATTGTAAGCTGCTCTGAGACTCCTTCGAGGAGTGAAGGGCAGGGTGTAAATCCAATCTCCTTCTTCCGTTGACCAAGAAGGTTTTCAGGTATTCAGCTTTGGAGACGAAAGGAACTTTGACTCTCCAAAGCTCAAACCCCGAAAACCTTGGTCTCTCAGGTGCTCCTGGACTTGAATCGAGCAGTTCCAAACAGGACTCTCCAGTCGCATGGCACTGCCTTGTACAAGGCCAGATGGGCAGCAGCTCTCCAGGGTCTCAGGCAGAGGTCTTTCCCAAAACCCACTACACGGTTTAAAACTGGAGATGCCGGGGATTGAACCTGGGACCTTCTGCAGGCCAGGCAGATGCTCTGCCACTCAGCCACAGCTCTTCCCTGACCATCCTAAACACATGGAGCCGATGTTCTCATGAAGGCCTCGGCCTCTATGCCCCGTTGTTGGCCCTTCAGAGGAACTGGTCGGCCACTGTGTGAGACAGGATGCTGGACCAGATGGGCCACTGGTCTGATCCAGCAGGTCTCTTCTGATGTTCTAATGAAGGCCTCAGCCTCTATGCCCCGTTGTTGGCCCTCCAGAGGAACTGGTCGGCCACTGTGTGAGACAGGATGCTGGACCAGATGGGCCACTGGTCTGATCCAGCAGGTCTCTTCTGATGTTCTAATGAAGGCCTCAGCCTCTATGCCCCGTTGTTGGCCCTCCAGAGGAACTGGTCGGCCACTGTGTGAGACGGGATGCTGGACTAAAGGGACCCTCATTGGCCTGATCCAGCAGGGCTCTTCTGATGGGAGCCACCAGGTCCGGCTGCAGCTCGCTCGTACCGCCTTGCAGCCTCCGCTTCCACTGCAAACCTCAGCCTTGGGGCTTTGCTCGTCACTTCCTGTGGCTTCTTACTGTGGAACAGAGGTGGTGGCTTCTCTTCCCCTCGCCGAGCAGCACAGAAGCAACTTGCAGCAGTACCCTCATTCCAAGAGGAGAGGAGCGAGGGGAGGCACGGAGTCCTGGCCAGCCCCCTCCCGAGGAACGGCTCGTTCGGCGGAAGGACAGGGAGGATCGCTCAAGCTGGTAAGTCCCTCCCCCCCAATCTGCCAAGGATTGCTTGCATGGGAGGGCGCCAAGTTCACAGCCGGCGGAGGTCTCTCTCCTTTGGGTTCTATTCGGTTCGATCCAGAATTTGCATTTCCAGCCAGCCTTCAGAGGCTCTCTTAGGGCAAGAAGCACTGGCTGTGCCCAGTCCCAAGCTTCCGTCAGCAGAAAGGCCATCTTTAGTCATCACAGGGCATCACTGCCAAAGGGCCCCTGATCAGTGTTCCCTCTAAGCTGTGGAGTCTTGTGAGCAAAAATTCTGCTTTGCGAGCTACTGGCACTAAAGTTGTGAGCGAGCGATTTGGCTGCTGCATAAATCAGTCTGCTCTGGAGCCCTCCTTCCTGAGCGAAGACAAGAATGTGTGAGCCGGAGGCTAAAAAACTGTGAGCTAGCTCACACTAACTCAGCTTAGAGGGAACACTGGGCCCCATCGTATCCAGCAGTGTGGCATCCAGTGGCACCAAGCCACATCTCTGAGCAGGCGTGTGAAGCAGCAGCGTCTCCCCCCCATCCCGTGGCCCTAGCACACGGTAGAAGACAGACTGGATTTATACCCCGCCCTTCACTCGGCGTCTCAGAGTGGCTTACCATCTCCTTTCCGCTCCCCAGAACAGACACCCTGTGAGGCAGGTGGGGCTGAGGGAGCTCTCTCGAGAACCGCCCTTGAGAGAACAGCTCTGAGAGAACTTGTGACTGACCCAAGGTCACGCCAGCAGCTGCCTGTAGAGAAGTGGGGAATCAAACGCAGTTCTCCCAGATTAGAGTCCTCGCTCCTAACCCCTACGCCAAACTGGCTCGGAGGTGGACTGCAGAGAACAGCTCTGAAAGAACTTGTGACCGACCCAAGGTCACGCCAGCAGCTGCATGTAGAGAAGTGGGGAATCAAACGCAGTTCTCCCAGATTAGAGTCCTCGCTCCTAACCCCTACGCCAAACTGGCTTGGAGGTGGACTGCAAGAACATGGAGGATCCATGAGGAAAGGCTGATGAGTCTGGGGCTTTTCCGTTTAGAAAAGAGATGGGTGGTGGTGGCGGCATGATCAAGGTTTATAAAATTATGCACAGGGTGGACAGAGTTGGTAAAGAGAAATTTTTCTCCCTCTCCCAAAACACTAGAACTCGAGGGCGTCCGGTGAAGTTGACGGGCAGTAGGTTCAGGACAGGCAAAAGGAAAGACCACTTTACGCAGAAAGTGACGAAAATGTGGGATTCGCTGCCAGAGACTGTTGTGATGGCCGCAGGAGCGAACAGCTTTAAAAGGCAATTAGATAGATACATGGAGGACTAGACGGACCCCTGGTCTGATCCAGATCCTCATCCAACACTTTAACCACTACAGTATGGTGGCTTCTCCATGCACTTGTCCAGCTGATCTCAGAAGCCATCTAAATCAGTGGCTGTCGCTGCTGATGGGTGCCGATGATTTTGGCCAGTTCTTGAATCTGTTCAGGATGCTGGACTGGATGGACCGCTGGTCTGATCCAGCAGGGCTCCTTCATCCTTACAGCCTCGCTTCTGATCGTCTTCTGGTCTGTCTGGAATCCCCTTTCCAAGCAGAGTCAGCCAGCCAGCCAGCCACGTGGCTCCAGGGAGCCCAAACAGGGCACAAAAGCAGGGTCATTCAGTAGTGCCAGAGAAGAGTAGAAATGTCCTCCCCGCGGGATTTTGTAGCCCCTCTTCTAAGGCCTTCCCCCTAACCCTCTTTCTCCTAAACACCCCAACAATTTCCCTGTGCCCCACAGCAAAGGCACGCGGGCTCCCTCGGTTGCCTTCACCCCTTGCTTCACTTGCTTGGGTTTATGCTGATCAGAAGCAATTTATGGTCTAAGGCAAAGGCCGGTGAAACCCTGCTGCCCAGGGGTCATCGACACAGGAGAGATGTCATCCTGCTTTTTGGGGGGAAGGGTAGGGACTGAAAAAAGTTCAAGTGGCACCTTTAACACCAACAGAGTTTTATTCTAGGGGAAGGGATTGTTTAACCTTTTCTGCCCCTCCCTCTCGTTTGGTGTCGTTGTTAGGAGCGCGGACTCTAATCTGGGAGAAACCGGGATGTCAGGTAGCCCTGTCATGGGTCTGGAATGTGGAGAGGTGCCCTCCTGTTTTCGGTCTCCCTCTCCCTGGCTCACCAACTGTTTGCTATCTTATGCTTGACCTTGTAGATGCTCCAGCTGCAGTTTTACTCGGCTGGGAAAGTTAACGGCTTTCGCTTTGCCTGCTTGCTTTGCCCGCTCGCGCGAGATGTATCCATTGGCTCATGCTTACCGGGGGGATGTTTGAGTCTAGTATAAGTCAAAGGCCCTAGTATTGGCAGCCATTCCTGACACAAGCTGTACACGTGTCTCCAGTACTGGATTTACCAATAAACAATTATCTTCTCATGAAGCCGTGTGTTGAGTAACCTGGCTAAGGACCCTGACACCGGGTTTGATTTCCCACTCCTCCACATGCAGCTGCTGGGTGATAAGTCACAGTTAGAGGTGTTCTCTCAAGAGCAGTTCTCGAAGGGGCTCTCTCAGCCCTGCCTACCTCACAGGGTGTCTGCTGTGAGGAGACGAAGGGAAAGGAGACTGTAAGCCGCTCTGAGACTCCGAGTGAAGGTCAGGTATAAAACCAATCTGTTCTTCTTCTTCTACAATCTCAGCCCTGCCAGTTTAACATCCTTTCTCTGCCTTGCAGCTTTGTTCCGTCTGTTAACCTGGAAGAACAAGACAAAAGAAGTCCAAACCCCTTCCAGAAGCCGAACCTTCAGACTTGTCGGGATGGGACGTTAAATGACCTCCGATCTTCCGGAGAAGAAGGCAATCCTCTCCAGGCGCCATGGAAGAGAGAGACCCGTCCAATGTGACGCTGGCCAACGCCAGTTCCCAGTGCCTCCTCCAAGCGGACTTCCAGTACTCCTTCTTCCCCGCCGTCTACAGCACGGTCTTTGTCTTGGGCCTGCTGGAAAACGTGGCGGCCTTCTACCTCCTGACCTGCAAGACGGCCGGTGCCCCCCGCTCCTTTGTCTACCTCGTCAACCTGGCCGTGGTGGACACCTTGTTCGTCTGCGTCTTGCCTTTCAAGATCCACTACCACCTCGGCCGCAACGACTGGATCTTCGGCGACGTGGCCTGCAGGGTCACCGGCAGCGTGTACTTCGTCAACATCTACCTCAGCATCGCCTTCTTCACCTGCATCTGCGTCGACCGCTACGTGGCGGTCCTCCACCCCTTTGCGTACATCCGGATCAAGAGTGGGCATTACGGGATGGTCTCCGCGCTCCTCTGGGGAGTGGCGCTGGGAGTGGCGGTTCCGCTGGTCCTGGGAGGGCCCCTGACCTCCCGAAAGGGTAACCAGACGGTCTGTTTCGAAAGCTTCGGAGCGGGCAGCTGGAGGGGGCGGATGGTGCCTTACAACGTCTGTGCCCTGGTGTTTGGCTTCGCCATCCCCTTCGTGGTCATCTTGATCAGCTATCCCCTCATCGCCAGGCGTATCTCCCGCATCCCCCGCAGCGCCCGCAAGACGAAAGCCCTGGGCACCATCTACCTGATCCTCCTCATCTGCACGACCTGCTTCCTTCCCTACCACCTCACCCACCTCCTCCACTTCCTGATGCGGGCCGGCCTCATCCGGGACTGCCGCTTTGCTGCCTTTATTTACGGAATGCGCCGGGTCACCTTGGCGCTGGTCAGCTTCAACTGCTGCCTGAACCCGATTCTCTACTACTTCACTTCGGCCAGCGGGCGGTGGCGCTGCAGGCTGCGCTTCAGACCGAGGGCCGTCGCGGTCTACACCGTCAGCGGGAGGCGGAACCGCGAGGACTCCGGCGCTCGTGGAACCCGGCAGCGGGATTACGTGGGTGGGGTGACCTGGTCGAGGGTGCCGCAGCAGATTGGTGGACCTTAAAGAGAAACTGCGTGGCTTAAGCTTGCGGGAGGTCCCAACTTCCTCCAGTTCAATGGCCTCGGGCAGAAGAGGAGATTGGAGTTATGCCCCGCCTTTTGCTACCCAAGGGAGTCTCAGAACGGTTTACAATCTCCTTTCCCTTCCCCTCCCCACAACAGGCACCCTGGCTGCGGTCACACACGCTAAATAATCCACTTTCCAACTGGATTTTGCCAGTTCACACAGTAAAAATCCAGTTGGAAAGTGCACTGGAAGTGGATTATTTAGTGTGTGTGACCGCAGCCCCTGTGAGGTAGGGGGGGCCGAGAGAGCTCTTTCGAGGACTGCCCTTGAGAGAACAGCTCTGCGAGAACTTGTGACTGACCCCATGTCACACCAGCAGCTGCACGTGGATGAGTATGGATTCAAATCTGGTTCTCCCAGATTATTATTTAGTGTGTGTGACCACAGCCCCTGTGAGGTAGGTGGGGCCGAGAGAGCTCTTTCGAGGACTGCCCTTGAGAGAACAGCTCTGCGAGAACTTGTGACTGACCCCATGTCACACCAGCAGCTGCACGTGGAGGAGTGGGGATTCAAACTTGGTTCTCCCAGATTATTATTTAGTGTGTGTGACCGCAGTCCGTGAGGTAGGTGGGGCCGAGAGACCTCTTTCAAAAACTGCTCTTGAGAGAACAGCTCTGCAAGAACTTGTGACTGACCCCATGTCACACCAGCAGCTGCACACGGAGGCGTGGGGAATCAAACCCGGTTCTCCCAGATTAGAGTCCGCGCGCCTAACCATTACACCAAACCGGGTACCGGGGAAGACATTTCGCTGCTGGACAAGGTGGACAATTCTGAGCCAGAGGGACCAGCAGCCTTACTCTGCAGAGGGCACTTCGTGGGGAAGGGCCCGTGGCTCAGTGCCAGAGCACCTGCTCGGCATGCAGAAGGTCCCAGGTTCAATCCCCGGCCTCTCCAGCTAAAAGGACCAGGTGGCAGGGGATGGGGAAGACCTCTGCCCGAGACCCTGGAGAGCCGCTGCCAGTCTAGGTAGGCAAGACTGACATTGATGGACCGAGGGTCTGATTCAGTAGAAGGCGGCTTCGTGTATTCATGTACGTGCCAAATCCGCAAGAGTGTCCCTGTTTCCCCCCTCTGGATGTTGGAGGAGCCGGGGTGTAGCAAGCAGCTTCGTGGCTTTTAAAGAAATAATCAAGTCGCGGGTGTTCATTGCCAATAGATTTGCAGTCTGGTAAAAGTTACCACAGGAGCTGCGGTGGCTCCAGTGGTTAAGACGCTGAACTGCCGGCTGTGGAAGGTCAGTAGTTCAGCAGTTCGAGACCCGAGTTACTGCATGATGGAGTGAGCTCCCGTCTCTAGTTCCAGCTCCTGCCAACCTAGCAGTTCGAAAGCAAGAAATTGCAAGTAGATAAATAGGTACCACTTCGGTGGGAAGGTAACAGCGTTCCGTGCGCCTTGGTGTTTAGTCATGCTGGCCACATGACCACGGAAACGTCTTTGGACAGCACTGGCTCTTTGGCTTTGAAACGGAGATGAGCACCGCAACCCCAGAGTCGGATTCGACTGGCTTTCGAGCAAGGGAACCTCTACCTTTACCTTTAAAAGTTACCACAGCCTTATCCTCTTTGGAGCCTGCAATGTGAACAACGCAGTAAGTTGCCCTGTGTCCGTCAGCAGAAAAGGCCCAAGGTACCACGATTAAAATTTATTTTAAAAGATAAACCAAACACCTACAGTATTTACAGTCGGCCTGCGCACCTACTGCCTATGGGAAAGCGTCCCAAAAATGCCAGTGAGGGGGCGGGTCACGCTGTGATTTGGGGCAGTGCCTTCTTCAGCAAAGACGTCACGTAGCTTCCCATTTCTTCTTCCTGGAGGCGGAGACCAAAAAGAGAGAAGAAAGCACTCTTTGAAACACATCAAGCATTCCTCCCCCCCCCTTCGTTCAGAATCCGGTGCTGCGAGACTGCGGTGGTGGCCGAAAAGCACAAATTGCTCCCCCCCCCCTTTTAAAGCATCGTAGCTTGAATGCTAACAGATTTATTGTGGTGTTAGTCTTAATAAACCCGTTACCCAAAAGGTGCCGCGTGAGCTCTCTTTCCTGGAACTGGCTCCACACGGCTAAACTCTTAGAACAGATAAAAGGAAGTCCTTCTTCACCCAAAGAGTGATTGACGCATGGAATTCACTGCCACAGGGGGTGGTGGCGGCTACAAGCCTGGATGGCTTCAAGAGGGAACTGGATAAACAGATGGAGCAGAGGTCCATCGGTGGCTATGAGCCACAAGGTATAGATAGGGACTCTTGGTCTGGGGCAAGGGATGCACTGTATTATTGGTGCTTGGGGGGGGGCAACAGTGGGGGGGCTCCTAGTGTCCTGGCCCCACTGCTGGACCTCCTGATGGCACCCGGTATTTTTGGCCACTGTGACAGAGTGCTGGACTGGATGGGCCACTGGCCTGATCCAATGCTGGTTTCTCTTATGTTCTCTTATGGCTCTTTTTTAAAGGATTAGACCGGGGGGGGGGTCCTCCACTGTCGTTCCCATGGCTGCCCCGCTGACACCTTACCTGGCACCTGCCAAGTGTTTTCTGAAAGTGGGTGGAACCACTTTGGGGGGGGGGCCTTGCCGAGACGACTGAGAGATGAGATGATAGCCATCTTCAAGCACTTGAAGGGCTGTCACTAGGGTTACCAAGTACCTACCGCGAATCGGCAAGGGACACGTGGTCCCCAGCCGGAACATTCCTCCCTGTAACACACCAATGCCGCACCATGCCATCGCCAGGAAGTGACGCTGGGCGACGCTCTGGCAATGGGGCTGGAAACTCGATAATACCATCGAGTTTCCAGCCCCATTGCCAGAGTGTCACCCGGCGTCACTTCCTGGCGACGGCATGGTGCGGCGCGTCTGTTTTCCACGCGGGAACGGCCCTGAGAAGAAGTACCGTATGTGTCCCCCACCGATTCTCGGTAAGTACTTGGTAAGCCCAGCTGTCACACAGAGGATGGGGCGGAGTTGCTTTCTGTTGCCCCGTGAGAGGGAGGGCAGGGAGGGTTGCCTCAGTGCTTCGTTCTCGTGGCCCTTTCTTGCACACCCAGGGAAATGCCGGTCGCCACCTTGGGGGTCAGGAAGCCATTTTTCTCTAGGCCAGTTTGGCCAGAGATCCAGGGGTGGGTGGGGTGTTGCCATCTTCTGGGCATGGAACAGCGGGGGTGTGGGGAGGGGAGGTATTTGTGAATTCCCTGCACTGTGCAGGGGGTTTGACTAGATGACACCGTGGACTAGATGCTGAGCGGTCGGGTTAAAAAGATTATAGCTTTGGAAAAAGTGCAGAAAAGGGCAACTCGAATGATAAAAGGGTTGGAACACTTTCCCTATGAGGAAACGTTAAAGCACTTAGGGCTCTTTAGCTTGGAGAAACGACGACTGAGGGGTGACATGATTGAGGTTTATAAGATTATGCATGGGAAAGAGCAGGTAGAGAAAGAGGTACTTTTCTCCCTTTCTCACAATACATGAACTCCTTCTGACTCCATGAAATTGCTGAGCGGTCGGGTTAGAACGGATAAAAGGAAGTACTTCTTCACCCAAAGAGTGATTAACACATGGAATTCACTGCCACAGGAAGTGGTGGCAGCTACAAGCATGGACGGCTTCAAAAGGGAATTAGATAAGCATATGGAGCAGAGGTCCATCAGTGGCTATTAGCCACAAGGTATAGCTAGGGGCTCTGGGGCAAGGGATGCTCTGTCTTCTTGGTGCTTGGGGGGGGGGTCAACAGTGGGAGGGCTTCTAATGTCCTGGCCCCACTGGTGGACCTCCTGATGGCACTGGTATTTCTGGCCACTGTGTGACACAACAGAGTGTTGGGCTGGATGGGCCTTTGGTCTGATCCAACATTTGCGTCTCTGATGTTCTTATGACCCCAGAGGTCCTTTCCAACTCTATGATTCCGATTCTATTTTAAAAATTGGCTCTATCCTCCCTTGCAGTTCCTCGGGGGGTGTGACTGGCTCAGCCTCCTGTGCCCCACTACCCTGTGTCAGAATTCCAGAGGTGCCCACCGGCTCAAAAAGGTCGGGCACCTCTGGAGGAGGCGACTTCAAGGAGAACTGAGCTGCCCTCCTAAGTACAGACGGGCACTGCAGTCTAGAGGGCCTGTTCCCGGGGCGTGAAGACATCCAGGACCACCCAATACAAACAAGGCCCCTCCCAGCTCTGCTGCCAACCAGGGCCCCCTTCTCGACATTCCTACTCATGGCCGCTTTCCAGGAAATCGAGCCTCACTTTCCACTGCGCGGTGGCCAACCGACAGCACAGAGATGCTGAGAAACCGAAAGTGAACCAGCCTTTCATGTTCACGCGTTCACCCGCAGATGGTTATACGGACTGAGTGCTGTGAAGCATAAGTGTTTGTTCTACAGCAGAGGAACCCGACTTGGTGCCTGTGGGCATTTCTAGAAAGTGGGCGGGGCCGGGCGGGGCTTTAGCCCAGCAATGCTCCTGACGGGCGATTTGATTGGCTGTGCAGATTTTTTTGTTTACATGTTGCTTCGGCGGCAGCTGCCACCGCAGCACAAGGAGCTTCATCGAGTGACTGAAGGGAAGCTGCGGCAGCCATTCTGTAGCTGGCTCCACCCCCTGCGGCAGCCATTTTGTGGGAATAGCTAGGAGGATCAGAGTGTATGAAGCAATCATTATAAAGAACAACAGTGCCATTGTAACGATAGCTCTAAGGTCACTAAATGAATCTAGAACAGGCAAACCATGTTTTAAAAAGTATTGATGCGATGTAACTTTCTTTCTATAACCTATCGACTTTCGGAGTCATTTAACAAATCAATATCAAACACAACGAGATCGAAGTACAGTGCTCTCCAGATTGTGGAACTTGGGGTAGAGCAGAATGAGAAGCCCTGATTCTTTAGACAATCAGTGTCCCTTATAACAATATCAAATTGAAAATCTGAGCAATGTTCCCTCTAAGCTGTGG